AGCTCTAGTGGTTAGATAAGGACTTGGCTGGATGCCAAGACTGCTGGACTCTGTCCTTGATTCTGAGAGGAGAGTGGAGTCTAGGGCTTACAGCAGTGTGGGGCTGGGAGCCAGGACTCCTGGGTTCTCTCCCTGGCTCCGGGAGGAGAGGGGGGTCTAGTGGTTAGAGTGCAGGGTGGGGCTGGGTCTCTCCCTGGCTCTGGGAGGAGAGTGGGGTCTAGTGGTTAGAGCAGGATGGGGCTGGGAGATCCTGAGCCTCATCTGGCAGCAGGGGGACCCGTCCTGGTGCCGCAGTGTGCCCATCTGGGATCGGTCTCCCTGGCTCGAGGCCTCTGGTACCCTGGAGAAGCTGAAGGCTGCAAAGCCCCCCCGCTTCATCAGCTCCCACCTGCCCATCCAGCTCTTTCCCAAATCCTTCTGGGGCTCCAAAGCCAAGGTGAAATAGGCATGAGGGGCTCCCCAGCCCCCCACTCTGGGATATCAAATGGTAGCTCCCTTACCCGGTTGTAGGAGAAGGCTCAGGGGGTCTCGCTCCACCCTCCCCATTCTCCACGTTCCTAAGGGCAGCGGTTCTGCTTGTGGCAGAATGGCCTAGTAGTTAGCACAAGGGGTGCTAGGTGTCCTGGGTTCTCTCCCAGCTGAGGGGGAGGAGTGGGGTCTAGTGGTTAGAGCAAGGAACCCTCATATACAACCTGCTTCCTCACAATTGCGACCATCCCCGACCAGGGACAGGTTGAGGGGTCCTGGCTGCCAGCCGCCCAGGACAAGCATTGCTTATGCACCTTCTTGCAGGTCATCTACACCGTCCGTAACCCCAAGGACCTGCTGGTTTCCCTCCATCATTTCTCCAAGCTGGCAATCTTCCTGGAAGAGCCAGAGTCCCTGGAGGAGCTACTGGGTGTGGGGGGGTGGCGGGGGGAGCCCTCCCCCCCAGTCCTGTCTGTGGGGCAGGGAGCCTCTGCTCCTGCCAGCCTGGGAAGGGAGGAAGGAACCTCCAGAGAGGCAGGAGGACAGGGGGAGGGGCAGAACTGATGTGGAGACTGGCATGGGGCAGAATTAAAGAGGGGTTGGGGGGTTAAACACTTTCTGAGCCTACCCCCCGTCCCTGCCCAGCTGCCCAGTGTGAGCCCACCCCCCGGGCTCCTGTGTTGGGTCTCTGTGTAAAAAGATATTCTGTGGGGGGGGGGGGAGGGGAAGCACATTTTTATGCAGAAAATTTCTGCTTCTGATGGAGAAATTAGATTTTTTTTTCCGTCAAAACCAACCCTCAAGAAAAATCTCTTTTTGGAAACACAATGCCACACCCTGTCCCTTGTCCCTTCTCTGACCGGACTACATTTCCCATGCTGCATCATGGACAAGTGCTCCCATGATGCACTGCATTACAGCCTCTCCCACCCACCCAGTCCAGTGCATTTTGGGAAAAGCAACCTCACCTTCCTTGTCTCCTCAATGGGCTGAAACTCTCCAGTTGGACTACATCTCCCAGGGTGCACTGCAACCCAGTGGTGCATCATGGGAGCTGTAATCTAGCCATGCAGCTTGGTAGAGAGTGAGTCAGGGGAACAATAGTTGATGGTGCACTGTGGTCAGGCACTCCCATGAGGCACTGCAGTCTATCTCAAGTGCCCTACTGCTGCGGTGCATCATGGGAGCTGTAGTTTGGGTGCCTTCACCCTGTCCCCAGTCTGCTCTCCAGCCAGGCTACGACCCCAGTACATCTCTCAGCTCCTCTGGGGTCGAGCCGATCTGGAGCGTCCCTTCGTTGCCGTGGGGACAGGGTCTGATTCGGAGCTCGGCTCCCCCAGACTCACACTCCGGGCAGGGCTAGGTTCTCCCTTCAGCTCCACTCCCTGCTCCCGAATCCCACTTACAGCTACTGGCTGGGGTAGGACCCCCCCACTCCCGATCTGTGGGGCAGTTCCCCGGAGTGACACCCTCCCCCCCTTACATTTCCAGTTCAGTTCGGCTCCTGGTTCGACCACGTCAAGGGCTGGCTGGGGCTGCGGGGCCGCGAGAACTTCTTCTGCATCAGCTACGAGGAGCTGCAGGAGGTGGGGCAGGACGGGGAGGGTCGATCGCAGCGGGGCCAGAGGACCTAGGGATGGGTGGGGGGATTGGTTGGCTGGAGGGGGAGAAAGAGGCTGCAAAGTGAAGGGACAATAGTGAGGGAATCAGGGAGCCAGATGGCAAGAGTCTGGGGAGGGGAACTGGGGGGGCAGAAGGAAGGGGTGGGAGAGGGAGTCCCAGTAGAGTGGGGAACTTGGGGGGGAGGAGAGATTGGTCTGGGGAGGGAAATTGGGGGCATAAGGAAGGAGTCTGGGGATGGAGTCCCACCATAGTGGGGAAATGGGGGGCAGAAGGAAGGAGTCTGGGGAGGGGAAGTAGGGGGGAGAAGGGAGGTTTTGGGCCGGTGGGGAGCAGCGGGGGCTGGGGCAAGGCAGTGGGGGCAGGCGGGGGGCGCCCCCA